CTTGATTTACATATAAAAGCAATGTTTACATGGAAAAAGAACATTTCCATCATCTTTACCGTGGTGATCGTACGGACAAAGTTGATGTTTATAATCTTGGTTCCGGTATGAGAATGCGCTGAATCAGTTTCCAGATGATGGGATGTAGTGCTGATGGCTTCTCAATTGGCTCGCCATAGTTGCTGCAACATCAACTTAAAGAATTTGCTGCAATGAAAAACAGGAAAATTTACAACTTTCGCGTCAATAAAAAAACTACTTACCTAAACAGCCCCACCTACTACGTGAACCCCCGCGTTTGGAAGCAAATGAAAAAATATATACACGCACGTTTACTTTTTACTAGGAATCCTATCCGTAGTGTTTGCAGCTATTTCCATCGACTTCAATCTACTGTAGCATCGAAAAAGTAGATGCCAGTGAATGCTCGAACGAATGGTAGGAAATTAAATCCATCAAAAGTACACTGAGCTAAAAAATCAGATGCACATCGTGCGTAATCTAAATGGAATTTTAGATGTGTCGCCCCCCTCGTGGTATGGTGACGTCATATCAGTACGAGAGCAACGATGTGGAGCCGATATCGATTTTCCTGGTATTTCGATTTCGACAGGCATCCGCATAGCGAAAATGAAACCCTAATAAAATTTGTATGGTTATTTTGATTAAGGACGTGTTAGGGGTATCATCCAAACCATTCGTGGAATAGTTCTATAATTTGTGTTATCGTTCATTTATGGTATTTGTTTATTAGGGAAGTGAATCGAAACATCAAGTCGGTTCACCGTCGACGGCAAAGTGAGGAATATGTCATGCCGACACTGCCGCGAATACATCTGCTATTACAGAACTCGTACGCCGAGCGGCGCCGGTGGTGTAGTAGTAAGCGTAATTACCTCTCACTCCAGCAGGCCTGACTTCAATCCCTGTCATAACATCTCTGATCACGCCTTCCTTCCTTCGGATGGGAAGTAAAGCCGTTGGTCCCCGGTTCATGAGTTGATGGGTCGATAGGTCCAGGTGTGGGAGCTGCCTCCCTGGCGTCGGTAGAATTGGTGCTCAGCACGGAAAACAAAATCGGCGGAAAACAAATCAAGGAAAAAACAACAAGGGACAGTCCTATGGGGTTGTATCAACAATCAATACGAAACTAACGATTTTAAATTGGCTCACCACTTGACTAGCCTATTGGTCCCAAGCAAACGATTAACGTAACCTATTCTAGTCAAAATTCTAGTACTACGCAATGTTTGTTTTGATTCGCTATGAAAGTTTGACAGATAAAATGAGCGGTTATTGGTTTTCCCTATGTTTCGAGGGGTGAATCGATTAGCTTGGGACCGAAGAGAGTACCAGCAACAATCAATACGAACCTAACGATTTTAAATTGGCTCACTACTTGACCAGCCTATTGGTCCCAAGCAAATCGATTAACGTATCCCATTCTAGTCAAAATTCTAGTACTACACAATGTTTGTTTTGATTCGCTATGAAAGTTTGACAGATAAAATGAGGAGTTATTGGATTTTCCTATGTTTTGAGGGGTGAATCGATTAGCTTGGGACCGAAGATAGTACCAGAGCTGAGCCAAAAAGTTGAGCACGTTTCTTCGGGACCTACTATAGTCTTAGAGTTACCTCTATGGTACCAGAGCTGAGCCAAAAAGTTGAGCACGTTATTTCGGGACCTTCTAGTCTTAGAGTTACCTCTATGGTTGTATGCAATGGTGAGGTAGGACAACGTGGTCTTCTATAATAAATCTTATTTGTTAACTGCAACAAGGGCCTTTTTTGTGTAGGAATATGAATTTGAGCGGGGTTCTCTCTGTTTATACTTTTTAGTAAGACGCTCTTGACATAGATGGACCACAGCGACTCACGACGAGCTACTGATTCCGATCAATAGCGGTGCGGCTTCTTCCTCTTTATATGCATACTCATGTGGGCTGCAGCTCGTTGCTTGCAGGCAGCCTTTCGTTGTGTACTGGAGAATCCCACCACTCACAACGCGGTAATTGAATAAACACCGTTTGGTGAGACCAGACGGAATTCAACTTTGAAATCTGTGAAAGGGAAATCGCTTTTTGCAGGCAATTGGTGATAATTTTAATTATTATAGCAACAGTTGCACATTCGTGCAATATTCAACATTGACATATACTGAGAAATGCTAAAGTATTTAATTTAACAGATGCGTAGAAATATTTCTGATGGATTGATGATAACAATTTTGAAATTGGTCCAGAGGCAGCTGAGTTATTAACGCTTAAAATCTTTCATAATTTTGTTACATGTTCCATTTTCGGTTTTCATAAAGTGTACCCCCATATAGAAATCAAAGACGTAGTCCTACGTCAAAAAAGAAGTCGTACATCGCAAGCAGATGTCTTCAATACGAGATAAACTAGCCTACGGCTAAAAATCTCTGGCCGCCTCATCGCTGTCAGGGTGCAAAACATGATCCTCTGTAATATATATGCGCCATCGGGGACAACTTCTCGTGCAGACAGAGAGAGATTCTACAACGACACGATCGCATACTATCTCCGACACAACACGCAATACGTCATCCCCGCTGGCGATTTCAACTGCGTGCTTCGTCCGAGAGACTTCACGAGTGCAAACACAAGTCCGGCGCTCCAGGCGACCGTACGGCAGCTGCAGCTTCAAGACCGGTAGCTGAAGCTATATACCATCACCACCGCACCCACATTCGTCACGCACAATGCGGCATCCAGGCTCGATCACATGTATGTAAGCTTTAGGTTTGGCAAGCATCTGTTAAGTGCTGTCACACACGTATGTTCGTTTAGAGACCACAACCCCATCTCTGTCGCGAACAAGGACGCGGATTCTGGTCCCTCCACTCTCATCTTTCGACTGCCGAAAACATCAACGGTTTCTAAGTCCGGTGGCAGTTTTAGACCCGCCAACGGACCCGAAAAATAATTATAATAAAACAACGAAATTAAAACATTTTTTACTGTAGCGCCGCTGAGCGCCGTTCGTGACTACCAGGACTGTAAACTAAAAGATCTACCTCAAGAGTGTCTACAGAAGCGTCTGCTTCCTCTGATGAAGCAACACGAGGGCCCTACGATCTTCTGGCTGGATCTAGCTTCGTGTCACTATTCAAATGTTTTCCTGGAGCGATACGACGCCAACGGGGTCACTTTCGTACCCAAGGACATAACCCGACCCCCTTCCCCCCCCCCCCCCCAAAGCACTGGAACTAAGGCCCATCGAAAAATACTGGGCTATTGGGCCTTATTACGGGTGTCACTACACGGTGATTAAGAAGTGATACTCAGAATAAGAGCCGTGATTGCCGTACAAATCAAATGAAAATCACTTCACCGTGACGACAAGTGACTAGTTTCCACCGTGAAGTGACATCCATAATAAGCCCCATTATGATAAAAAGCCCCACGGAAGCATCCCAAGGAGGTCAAATCTGAGGAAGACATGAAGAAAAAGTGGGTTTCTGTACAGAAGAAGCTGCAGTTGCAGCCAGATGTCACTGCTACCCCATGTAAACATAGAACTGAGAGCATCGCGACTAAGTTGCGTCGTAAGGCTGACCAGGGCCCCTTATCCAATATTCATTGACGTTTTTTTGAAGAATAAACATTATGTTTTTAATAAAAAAATAATTGCTGGCTATATGACTGAAAAAAATCTTATTTTTTATTGAACACCCGAAACTACCCCCATACAAAAACTTTTTCTTATGGATTCGATAATTTTAGGCTGTATCAAACATCTATTGTTATAGTAGGGTCGGGTGGGGCAAGAGTGCCACCCCAATGATGTTGAAAATAAACTTATTTTCAATGCTAATCTCCTATGAAAGTATGGATAGTGTTCATTTGCAGAATTATTAAAAGTTCTGTCCAACATGAAGTCCTGCAAAAATCGCAAAAAAATCATTTTGTGCTGATGTGTTGAAAATCGAAATAATTTATAATAATTAGACATCATAAAATAAGGATTTTCGAATTTCCAAATATTGTTGCCTACAATTCCTGCATTGAGGCATCACTAATAATGATTAATTGAAACATCAATAACAAAGATTAAGTAAATATTCCATATAATTGGTCAAAAATCATCTTCTTAAAAATGAACCTCATACGGACCAAGAGTGCACCCCTATATTTATGAATAAAATTGTAGAAAAATGTCATGGAAATTGCATAATTGTACATTTAAGTCTTTGGAAAGTTGGTTTTCACTAAATTTGGCAAAACTAGCTACATTAAATATCAACAACAATTGTTTTAATTTGAATTCATTGGGAAGTTCATTTGTTATGTATTGAACAATATTGTAAAATCCAATAGTTAAATCGAGTAAATAATAACAGCTGTTGCTAGCATGACTAATAATCCAAAGGCAATGTTTATAAACAAGCATTAAAAGATTTCACTCAGTTTAAGACCCAATGCCCTTTTGCCCCGTTGCAGTTTCAAAAAAAGATTTGAGATGACATTTTGAAAAAACAAAACGTAAACAACTTTTGACGAGATTTAATTTGCATTACATTGCTGATGTATGAAGGCAATAATATGAACTTGGAATACGGTGTAGACATTCCTATGAATATCCACTGTTTGGCATATATAGAAGGTACAATTGTTAAGGTGGCACTCTTGCCCCACCCCACTAGATCCTACTTTGGCATTTACAAAACATTTTTGGTATCTCAAAACAACCAAAAACTTTTAGGAGGAAAGGCTTAAGTAAAATTAGTAATGCTTCAATATAGGATAACGGCACGGTAAGACTATAAAAAATGATTTGGAGTATTATCAGCCTGGTGTAGTATTTACAGTGAGTTTTCACTGGAGACCTGGCCCTATGACCTTCTTCTGTGCTTGAAAACGGAAACGAAATAAATGAATTGGGAGTTCTGGGATCTTAATACTACGTAACATGAACAAAGGATTAAAGAACGGTCTTTCATAGCTTTCTTTCTATCGTACAACTAGACCAACCACATCAACGATAAACATTTATTCATAAATAAATAAAATTTCCCTAAGATTTATCCTTCGCATTATTCGCTTACTTTTCTTTTTAACTATGTTGCATATATGTTTTACACGATTTTCATATATATATATATATATATATTATTTTCATTGTCGTTCCCTAAATAATGCTTTCGTTAGTTCAAGGTATTGTTATCAATAGCAGTTATTATACATATTGTGTAAATAGGTGGATTTTGTATACAACAGTTTCTGTTGCTTAATTTCCAATAAAAGTGTATCCATACCATGGTGTGTTCAAGTGTTAATACGATTCGCAAATATAGTTAGGTGCAGCGTGTGATTGTATCGTAATAGGCTAAATACTTTGTTGAGACGACTGTTTTATATTGTTCTAGTTGTTAATTTAGTTTTGTTATTAGTCAACAACAGTATAACAATTAAATTGATTCTGCTGTTCGTGATAATGTTAAATTTAAAGTAATTTTCAGTGTACAAATGGAAACATATAAAGCAAACGCTGCATTTTACAAATTAAACTAAACGATAGGTAAATCATCAATCGATAGTTTTTGTATAATGCAATCAGAAAAAATAACACAACAATATCGATATCTTTTAGGACCGACATATCTAAGCAATAGGATTAACTTTCTTATAGAACATCTTCTTTTACTGCTAGCTACTCTTTTAATTTTTCATCTCCTCAAGACAATTTCTAGATCTCGCTAATACATACGCTCTATCTGTTCCTATATAATTAGTTTCACCTTTTATAAACTCTCTTTTTTGGTATTTTCTGCTATTTAATACATGTAGTACATCTTAATCTGGGTATTGTCAGCGGTAAGAATGATTTTTTTTTCTGATGTTAGTGGATGCTTCATTATTTTTCAACAGCGGTAGTTTCAAAGAGCAAGAATAGTAATAAGTTTTAATTTGAAAGTTTCGTGGTTTATTTGTATGATAACAATTTAGATGAAAATGTCTGCATATTTTATAATTTCCAAGGATAAAATTTATCAATACTTGATTTTGTGTATTTTGTATATATGTATGTGTGTATGATTTTGACTCTCTATGCTCGTTACAATTACTATAACACACAGGGGGTCGTTTCCTAAATTTTAAACACGTTGTAGTTTTGTTGTTTGTAAATTTCGCAACGTCCTGTAAAATATTGTATTATTCTGTAATGTTAGCGATTCTGATCTTAATTTCAATACTAGTAAACTAATACAGCGAATGGACAATCGATTCCCGGTCCGGCAGGAGCCGAACTTTCATGGAACCATCAGCACCACAGGAGAAGAGGCGACCGCCCTGATCGATCTGCAACTGCGTCACACCTTGGCCAATGTGCTTGAAGAAGCTGCTGCGCGCATGCTCACCTATGAAGCTGTACAGCAGCGTGTGAACCGTTAAGCCCCAAACCTAAAATAACCGGTCAAGGGATTTTGGTTAGTTAATTATTAGTTTTAAAGCCAATGGACATACCTTTATATCACCATCGGCTGATCCAGTCACAAAATGTTCCTCGTGTGGATCGATAGCCAGGCATTTGATCGGATTTTCATGAGCCTAAAAAAATACGTTGAGATTACAATAATACTTGATCGATTTTCTATACTTCTGAAACATTTATAATCGATTATTCAACGGATTACTCTTGGAAAAACATATGCTGATACTATTCGCAAAACAGTTACATGTAGATAAGAAATCCATAGGACATGGGACTGTTTTGCGAATAGTGGGAAGCTCAAAGAAACTTCCTTTTGGAAGTTAATCGGCCTTTTATGGGAAGTTTAAGGGACATCCAAGTTACTTCTAACAGGATATCCAAGGAACATCCAACTTCAAAATAAAGTTTAAGGCTAGATTCAAAGAATTTTCGGAAGGAAGTTCTTTGAACTACTAAAAGGATATTCTGAGGATATCAAACGGCTAGTTTTGGTAATTTCCAAAGGGCAGTTTTCAGAACTAATTTAAGCAATTCAAGGAACTTTTGAAGTTAAGTTTAAGGAATATCCCAAAGGAAGTTCAAAGAATTTCCTAACATAATAGTATTTCTGGAGGGTTGGCACTTTCATCACCATTGCCAGTAATTTCCTCCAATCAACAAAGTTTCAAGCTCAAACACTGATTGCATCTATTCTTATTAACAATACACTACACTTTCATTGAGAACATCGATTTAGTACGTCACGCTCTAAGAGGGAAAAGAGGTTGGGTTGATTTTCCCTAAATTTCGCGTGACGCACTTAATGCATGCTCCCAAACCACCAAACCACATTATCAATTTTCTATTGCTTACCTGGAAGCGATGTCTAAGTACACGCTGTCGTACATCGAATATGCATATATCACCTTTCTTGCCAGCAGATATCAACAATTGATGTTGTGGCGCATACGCCAGACTAGATGCACCCTGATCATGACAAGTGAAAGCTGCAAACATACAACATGTTGAAAATAGCTCTTTCCAAGCATAATATGAGTGAAGCAGACTTACCCGACACAAGGGCCTTTTTCTGGGGTAAAAGGGTATCCCAAATGGCAACATTCTTACTTTCTGAACTCTGGCCAGCTGTGAAGAAAGCCGAAATAGTTAGTTTTGCTCTTCATTTACCTAACATTGGACAATTATTTCAATTTACCTGTTGCCACTAAACTACACGAACCGAGAAATACGAAATCAGTTATTCCCTTATTATGGCATAAATAGGTCTACAATAAAGTGCAATATTAGACAATGATCACCCTACACAAATTCAAAAGATAAACTTACAAAGAACGGTCTATTGCTCTGACTAGCTAATCCAACTTGCCACAAACTCAATTTGCCATCGCCATCGGCTATGCCAAATTTGTTACCATGCTGTGAGAACCGGCATCTGGTGACCTTTGCAAATGTTCCCGGTGGTCGTGGTGTGCAAACCACTTGCTGGTGACCCCATTCCCACATTTGCACCGACCCATCTTGACCGCCTGTTAGATAGAGTGGCATTAGCGGATGAGCGCTCATGCGCTTGATGTTGTCCACCTTATGCTTGAGCACCTTCATTTAAAAAAAAAGAAAAACGTTGTTAGATATCATCAAAATTGTCTTGGCGATGTGCAACAAATGCTTCTATCTACAAATAAGTGAATCAACACCATCGCAAATGATCATTACAACTTGGAAAATGTATTAACAAAACATTTATTTACAACATGAATTGATGAAAAACAATCTAGATACAAAGTTGAAGGAGATGATCACAAACAGAAAGAAAATATTAAAATGAAATAAAAATCTTTAGCATGATCAAAATACTCATTTCAATGTACCGGTTTCAGCAAGTGCTTTGAACGCTCAATAACCAGTTTGCAGAAGCGTGGACACTGACTTCCGGGAAATGTTGCTCCTTTTATCTGATGTGGCGTGATGGTGAGTTTCAAAGTTAAAAGATGAATCACACATATACGTTAACATAAGAAACATTGATAGTGAATAGCAGAAATGATTTTATGAACGTTCTGAATCTGGCATCCACAGTTCCCAATATATATTCTATGCTTGGGAATATTCAATTTTATCAATTTATTGAATGATAGTTGAGTACTTCCTGATTAGACCTATAGGATTATGTTGTATGTGTTACCTATGTTGTAGACCGAGACAAGAGATGGATGCCATTCTTTTAAGAATAAAAACGAATATTTTCTATCATTGACTCCTCTTATGCCTTAATTATGGTTGTATGACTTCCGATATTTTTAAATACTTTCTTCAAAATATTTAAACACCTTAAAACAAACAAAAAGAATATATCCTTCCCGTTGGTCACTTTTGAAACTTTGCTAAAGGTGGAAGGGCTTAATCTCATGCATTTAGCCTGCCAGTGTTAAAAAAAATCAAATCTCACCAATAATCATAATCACGCGTTAGGTAAGTAGCCCTTAAAGCAATATAATAAATCTTCTATTTAATTTATTTTAGCCTGCCGGTAACCGCAAGTCAGTCACGACAGTTTTTTTTTTCATAAATTACTTTACGCAAGATTTCAATACCGTCTTGTGTTCAACTGTAAGAAAAGCATCATCGAAATGCTTGGCTCCCAATGACGGTTCGTGACAGCTTGATTCTGGCTCCTTTTGACGTTCATATTTTTCGAGTCTGCTTCTCCCTTGCAGGTCTAGACTATATAGGAAGTTTCCGTCTTCGGGAAAGTAGTTCAGCTGACCAAGGTCTTCTAAATTGTGGACAGGTTAGTTCAGAATTCGCTAACTGGCAAACAGTAACGAACAAGTTTGTCGAAAACAACAACTTCCAAGATGGTCAGGATATCAAGATATCAGGCATAACATTTGATAACGGCACAAAAGCATTTGTAAACAAACTTTCTAAGGCCCTTTACACGTGAACCAAAGTACGTCATCGCAAACCAATACCACTTTGGGAAAGGTGATAGTTGCCCCTATCCGATGATGTTGTTGGTTTGCGTGGGCGTACTTTGGTTCGCGTGTAAAGGGCCTTAGAAAGTTTGTTTACAAATGCTTGTGTGCCGTTATAAAATTTTATGCCTGATATATCTTATAGGTACAGGAAGGTACAGGGACCTCCCTTAATTCAGTCGGTAAAGGTGCAGCTATAAACCAAGTTTATTTTCGATTCAGATGTACTCTAGCACCACGTGGTGAGAAAAATACAAATTTACTTGTTCACCATTACCACTTGGAAGGCCTCGAACATGTTACTAAACTTGTCGGTAACAGAAACTTCGTAGAAAGCCAAAACCTAGTTTGATTAATTGATCTTCCAGGGCCCCCATATTCTAAATTCATTAGATCTACAAATGTTTTTGAACAAGCCTGATTTATTTCAGAAACGAGATATTGTTATTTATTGCATTCAGTTCCAACACTGAGGTATAACACATTCATAAAAAAGGAGCCGTCCTACCCCGATGTTTTTCAAGCTGTAACAGCTTCTGTAATACCCCATAATTTATAGAAAAAAATATATATTTTTCTCTGTAAGTACATCTTGTAGATTGTACTCGGAAAAAAGCAACACTTTAATTTGTGTATAACTTTTTATTGCATGGGTAAAAATTGATGAAATTTTGAGTAAAACTAGTTTAGAGTGTAATGTTTACATGTGCAAAATCTCGTCACAATCTGTCAAGTGGTTATCGAGATGGCTTCCAAGCAAGAAGTGCTTCGACAAAAAAAATTATGGGAGCGGTCGTGGAAAATCTAGGCCAGTTCCACAGGTGGATCGCAAGAAAAGCGAAGACGACCGACCCCGTGAACGCAAGGAAGGTGAGGGATTACTTCAAGCGCAATCCGAACCTTTCGATTCGGGACGAGGCCAAGAAGGTCAATTCTTTCATCTGGTTCGTCCAGCAGACAATGAAGCGGGCCGGACTTCATTTCTTCAAGGTAAGGAAGGCACCTAACCGAACCGATAAACAGAATATGGTGGCCAAATCCCGCGCCAGGAAGCTGTACCATAGAGATAACTCTAAGACCAGATAGTCCCGAAGAAACGTGTTCAACTTTCTGACTCTCTTCAGTCCCAAGCTAATCGATGCACCCCTCGAAACATAGGAAAATCCACGAACCCCTAATTTTATCTGTCAAACTGTCAAAAGCGAATCAAAACAAACATAGTGTAGTACTAGAATTTCGACTAGAATGGGGTACGTTAAACGATTTGCTTGGGACCAATAGGCTAGTCAAGTAGTTACCGAATTTAAAATCGTTAGTTTCCACCGGTTGGCTGTACTGCAAGTGGTTGGTGCAGCCGAATTGCATCGTAATGGACGACGAGACGTACATTAAAGCGGACGCCCAGCAGATCCCGGCCTGGCGTTTTTCGTCGGTAAGTCCCGCCTGTATGTTCCGGAGAAGTTCCAGAAGAAGAAGGTCGACAAATTTGCCAAGAAGTACTTAGTGTGGCTGGCGATTTGTGGGTGCGGCAAATTCAGCAAGCCGTACATAACGACCAGCACCATCAACGGCCAAATATGTAAAGCCAAATATGTCACGAAGGTGACACTCTGTTTTGGCCGGATCTGGCATCGTGCCATTACGCGACACCGGTGATGGAGTGGTACGAAGCCAACGATGTTGTTTTTGTGCCGAAGGTGGAAAATCCGCCAAACTCGTCAGAACTTCGCCCAATAGAAAAATTCTGGACGATTATGAAGGGCAAGCTCCAGAAAACAGGGAAGGTCTTCAAAAACAACAAGGATTTGAAGAAAGAGTGGATGAAAGTGTGTAAGAAAGATGGCGCAAGTGTTGCACAGGATTTGATGGGTAGCGTTCAGTCCAAGGTGCGGGTATTTAGCCTAGGAGAGGAGGTTGAATAAACCAATTTTGCAAAAACATAGCTAATATGTGTTTATTTATTTCCCTAAGAGATTAAAAAATATCCGACTCAAAATGAAGTTTTGGTGGTCATTTTTGTCTGTTGCTTTTTTTCGAGTACAGTCTTTAGTAAAATTTCCTCAATAATATAATTATTGTAACGGTAATAGCTCTAAAACATTGAATTCCGTAAACACAAGTGCCATACACAATGCTTGTTTTTGTTGTTAGTTTGGCGATTCACCTGTTATCAAGCTAAAATGTGTCTTAAGGGGTTACGCCTACCTGCAAACTTTCAAAAAATCGATTTTTTTATTGTCCTAATCGAAAGTATATAAAGTCAAGAATATTTCCTCAAAAGATCAAGTTGATCCGATGAAAATTGTGAAAGTTATGCGACGTACAAAAATATTCACTTATAGTGGACTAAATCCAATTTGAAACTTTAAACGCGATTATCTCGGAATCATATTTTCAAAACCGCTGCCAAAAACTTCTCGAATTGTATACATTCGATTCGTCCGATTCGTTTTGATTTCTGTTCAGAACTATTTTGTGCAGTCCACGATCGTTCGGATTTCGTCAATCATTTAATTTCGAATTTTTACAGCCGATCAAAGACAAATTTTAAGGATCAAAAATCGGCACTTCAACTTTGCAAGGCCGCCATTTTGTCAAAAACAAAAAAAAAAAAACCGAACGATCAAGGACTAGTTTAACACATGCTTTAACGATTTAGCATGGTTTTTTTTTTATTTCAGATGATTACATCACAAACCGCAGTTGGCACCGCAAAAAGCGTTTTTTAGAACTTCGTCCACGGGGAGCAGCCGTGCGGGACACCAGGACCTCGTTTTTACAGTATCGACTAATAAATGTACCATTTAATGTGTGTTCAATAAACGGCAGAAAACCGATTTTCAATATGTTGCTTCGTTTTCGAGAAAACAAAAATCCAAACTTCCGCTTTTTTTCGGTCTTGCAGGTAGGCGTAACCCCTTAAAAAGAATATCTATTATTTCAAGAGTTGATTATTTCAAATCAATTTAATTGTTTTGCCAAAATTAAAGTGTTCAGTTAAAAAAAAATCACAAAAGTTAGCATTTTTAATAAGATTTTTAATAAAAAATATCCATAAAATATAGGCAATTTTTTTGTTTCGTTATTTAAGTTTTTAACCTTTTTTGTTTAGTTTACTTACGTGCATATTTTTCCTAGAAAAAAAAAATCTTGATGTTTCCCTACATCTTTGCCTGGCTACAAAATAGTGAGTTGACAACCTCGAAATGGCGTGATACCTAGCGCCGGTCCTTACAAGTTCCTACCTCACGCTTCCACAAGTCATATGGTTATGTTCGACTACCACTGGCGCGGTAACCATAGCACGGCGATAGAGGAAATGCTTCACCTAGCCTGAACGTCTGTTCATCATGGAGGTGCGGCTCAAACAGCGTCTGACTGGCATCCAAAGACTGAATAAGAAATGCTTATCCTCGGAAGCTACACCTAAGATGTTCGGGGTATAAAACCACTGCGACCAGTAATTTGATCTATTCTGGTATACCGCGTGTCTTTATTTTAGTGCATGTCATATTACTCCATCAGTATTGAGAAATGATGAAGTATAATATTTTGATACAGTTGTCATTCTTGTCTATCCTAAGAAATCGATTCCAATTGGGTTCTTTAATTTTGAAAAATGTATCGTTTTTTATACATCATCTGAAAGAGCTTCGTTTTCGGAGCACAGCGATATTTTTTTCGAACCCACACACTTTTATCTCGATTTTTAAATCAAGATGTAAAGCAAAATAATAACTTCACTGTTTGACACTAAACTAACAAACTGACAGCTCGCTCTCATACAAAGTGACACCGAGGGGCGCTAATTTTTTGCAAATGTAATCGTACTTATTTAAAACAGTTCCAGTGTACCAAAATTGATGAAATTTTGGGGTTGGGTTCCATTTTTAATGCAGATTACGAACATGCATTTACCTCAATACCCTTAAAGAACCCAATTGAAAGTTCCCGCTATTTATACCCTTCGGAGTGTTGGAACACCCTCCAAAAGCGCGCCCCTTTGTCAGTCAAAAACGGATTCCTTAGCAACAAAATCAAGCAATGACACTGATAATGACCATGCATCAGAACCCTAGTCATAAACACATCAAACAAACATTAAAAAAAAAATTGATATCACATCAAAACGGATGCACTTCAATCATAGAGGTAACTCTAAGACCAGAAGGTCCCGAAGAAACGAGCTCAACTTTTTGGTTCAGCTCTGGTACTATCTTCGGTCCCATGCTAATCGATTCACCCCTCGAAACATAGGAAAATCCACTAACCCCTCATTTTATCTGTCAAACTTTCATAGCGAATCAAAACAAACATTGTGTAGTACTAGAATTTCGACTAGAATGGGGTACGTTAATCGTTTGCTTGGGACCAATAGGCTAGTCAAGTAGTGAGCCAATTTAAAATCGTTAGTTTCGAATTGATTGTTGCTTCAATCGTGTCGAAAATATGGTGTAATATGACTTGCCAAAAAGGACAAAATTATCATTAATACAGTGCATGAACTGACATTACGCTGCTTTTACTGCATTTGGTTTATTTTTGTGGCCATACAAATTACATGAGATTTTCGACATAACTGAAATATTAAAATTTATTTTTTGCTGTGTAGAGAACAACGAAAAAAATATTAGGAATCACTTAGATGACAAATAACTAACTCCTTTTATTCCTTCAAGCCGAGTCTTGTCACTATTAACATGTACTACGGGCGTGTCATGGGCCGCCACGGTTGTTTTGAGCACTTCCAACAACTCCTTCAAGTTTCGACGTTCAACTCGGCATGATCCGGCAAGGATGGGGGCATCACTCGCGTTAACTCCGAGCCTCCATCATTGCAGGAGATAGAAGCAGCTATTCGAAGCATGACATCGAACCAATTCATAACTTTTGCATGCGGGTTCATGGCTTAGCTAAATATTTCCCGCGAACACGGAGCCAGATGTCAGTAGTGTGCTTTGGTCAGCAATTTTATTGTTTATGCTATGGTCATTTATGTCGGTTTGTCGGTGGAATAAACGCGGACCAAACTGTGGATGTGTGAGGAACTTACGGATGTTTCCATTACATCTAATGAATCTTCTAATATGAATGGCTAGTTTTTTACAAATGATTCAACATTGCAGTCACATCTCCCACCATAAACATTGTGTCACATTTCTTGCGTCCAAGTGATCTCACAAAGATAGGAATGTAGTTAGTTTACACGCGTGTTATCGTTAGAAGCGGACATGAAAAAAATGTTGTTACAGTAATGAAACTTACCACGGACGCGCCACGTCCTGATTGTCCTGCAATACCAGGTTGTGGACTAGACGGCACACCGAAATTTTGTGCGGCATTGATGTTTGTGTTGGTTAAATGTCTGTAAAATAAGGGTTAATATTAAATGACTGGTGCTGATAAGGAGGGAATCAAAAATATTTCAAAATGATAAAATGACAAGCGATCAATCAGCCAAATGATAACGCTTTGTCAGAAACGGCAAGCAATGATGACATAATCATCTGGTTTTTTTTTTCATAAAAAACTGCCTCTGCAATAATAGATTGATCCAAACGGGGGAGGGAAGTAAAGGCGTTGGTTCTGGCCCATGTGCGTTGAATGGGTTCGATATCTTACGCAGGTGTGGAAACTGCCTTACTGCACATTCGATTGCCGTCAATGGATGGCAATCGATGTCCGTCGGTGATTGGCACTAGATTGCGGAACAGAGGCCGACGTTAAATAAAGGAATGAATAAAGATAAACGGCAGAAGAAAACGAAAAAAAATTTGCAAGCTGCTTCACGGACATACGAAGGAGTTGATACACGTAAGTAAATGGGATTTTTTTTTAGTCAGATGTCATTTCACCGTTCCGATCAAGTTATGTCATCAACCGTGTGTGTTGCAACAAAGTCTTGCAAACAATATATCGTTTTCCTTCTACCGTTCCGATCAAGCAATGATGCAGAGAGAAGTATGTAGTTCTCGCAAGCGTTTTGTCTTTATTATTTGTTGCTTTCTGTGATTCGACTCCCTGCTGCACAAGGTTGTTGCCATTTATTTGCCATATAAAAAAAATGTGAAATCATTAAAAGTTATTATGATATTTTGCACATGCTGTAAGTTACATGAAGAGGTTGTAAAGTATATGTGTTTAGCACATGAAACATGTCAATTTAACTTTCAGAGAGTCATAATTTAATGATCAGTGAATATTCACTCTTGAATGTGAAACTGACAGGATTTATATGCCAAACACATATTGTACAACCTCTTTGTAGCTTACAAGTTCAAAACACCATTATACCTCTATGGTAATACAAAAAGACATATATTGGAGATATGATGTCCTTTTCGGAGTCATCAGTTGTTGGAGGAAAATAAATGTAAGAATCAAACTTAATGTTTTAAATAATCCAATAACCAACTATTCCTTTATTCAGAAGCAGCAATTATTAGAGCATTGTGGAGCAAACAAATGCAAAACGATCAACTTAACAACAACCAGTGCAACAGGGTATAGAATTATGAATAGGTTTGCTATACATGATAGTTACTAAAAATAATAGTTTTTTGTTAATTATAATAAAGTAAAAATGCACAAATAAGTTAAATTTTATTTAAAAAAAATCCGGATGAAATAATGCAGTACCACTGTATTAAAACACATCACTTGAAACAGCATTTCATTCCCGAAACACATAATATTCACCTGAAAAGTACGATGGAAAATACATACGTACCTTTTCAGGCGCAATATTACGTGAATTTTATTAGCAGTAATAGAAACCCGACATAAAAAGACATTTTCAATGACAGATGGTTTACTGTTAAGTACTGTCAATAGAGATTTTCCCTTCTTTCAAAGATGAGCTGTTCTTTTGAGTATTTCTGTTTGTTTAAATTATTAATGAAATTTGAAACACTTATTGGCATGACATAGGAGTACGAATATTTGAATATGTTAATTAAGAAGACAATATTTCCTTCTTTATCAAACTTTTTTATTATGATATACAGAGCAAGAAATATTCCTTTCTTTGATAAAATATTCATATATTCTAAAAATCGTGTCCTTTTCCATTCCACTTATACACCGTTGGAAAAATTTGCTCATGCTGTTCACCCCTCCCTTTAGAACAAAATCAAGTTCACATCGTTAGTAAAATTACTTATCATAAATATATTGTGCATGTTTTTGCACTATTGAAGGTCATTATCATAAGATTGCTGATAAAATATAAAACATAAAAAAATGTTCTTAAAATTGATTTCGAGTCATATTAGTGCATGTAACCAGGGGTCCTATTCACCGCTCATGTTGTAGTGGAAATATTTACTTTTTGATTTGTCTATCTTTTATTGCCATTTAACGCAATATATGGTTTGTAAGTTGTTAAGGTATTAGATATTGATTAAACACTCGCCTTTGTTATTATATATTGGTAGTAATGTCTATTTTAAGTTTATTTTTGGAGTGAGCGGTGAAGGGAACCCTTGATCGTTCTTGGGTCATTCACTGCTCATATGGATGTAAACAAAAGTAAAAATGCCGATGGTTTAATATGATCAGCAGGCATCTTAAACGAGTGAACAAGTCGGTCGCATGTTTAGAACTCATTTTGAGAACTCTTTCAACAAATTTCAACTAAATCAGCGGCGAATGGAGGCCGAGGCAGCTTGCGTTTAACAGCATGAAAATGAATTCTCCCTCTAACATCTAAACAAGTGTTCCACCCCTCAGACATTTTTGCATGCCAAATGCTACTTTCGCCATATCTAATGATTCCCAAAAACATTTTTTATAGGTAAATTAATGGCAGCAACCCTGGATACTGAAAATGATTTTGACAACTTACTTATCTGTAGATGTCTGTATAACTAGGAAGTTGCTTGACGGTACCGTTTCGATATCCTTCATTAGGTTCATGATATCCATCTCGCATTCGTCCTCCATCCAATTGGGTGATTCCAGCAGCAGAGAGATATCCATTTCTTGTACCTCTCTGGGAGTGGCCAATGCCAACAATCCAGAATTCACTAGATTGAGACAGAAAGCGGAAATCTGCTCCTGGTCCTTATGGATAATACGAACGGGTTCTGGAATGTTCTGAAGATGTGTTTGCCCACCAGCAACCACTGCGGACTCGTTTCCAACGGGTGTACCGGAATCGTTGGCCGAATTAGTTATAGATCCGACCGTTGTGTCGATTAGATTAAGTGAGGGTTTCTTCTTGCCAAATACTGCTCGAATGAAGATATCCTGCACAAGCTCGATACGTACCAAGTAGTTCCACAGCCTTCGGGAGGGTGCAGCGGATGAAAGACATGGGCTAAACGGTGTGTTGGATTTCTCCAACAGTGAACGATACTTATGGATTGCGGGGCCTTTTGCTTCTGACTCGACAAAACAGCCTACAACCCGAAAACGCGATCATAATTAATGGAGTTAAATAAAAAATCATATCGAGTGGTGGATTTACCTGGAATGTAATCAACCGATGCAGGACCTCGGTTTTCTAATTCTTCTTTCAGCAGATCTTGCCACGAAGACAAGGAACGAAGAATGCCATGAATCAACGGACTGCACACCGGTAGTTCTGTGGGTACAGCATAATAGAGCAAGAGCAAATAAGATTACTGGTAGTCAGTATTTTCTCTTACCTTTATGATATGAACTAGCAAAGTGCAAAAATCTCAATAATAAAGTATTTAAAAAAACTCTTACCTTGCATTTCAATTCCTGCAACATTGATGAATGTCTGCAAGTGGTTTTGGGCAACCCTTATCAATGCCAGTCGCATAACAGACCACGAATAGGAGTTTGGATTAGAGTGCTCCGTGTTTTCACGTCGATGCTTTCTTACAGCAGCGGATACCTGACTGGCTTTTGGATCGTTGTTTAACGGGTCATTGAAAACGTCCTCGTCATCGTCGTCTTCGTCTAAATCGGATACCGCAGAATCAGCTGAATCGTAATCGTCTTCATCGGGATCACCTTCATTTTCCAGAAAAAATGATTACATTGTTAGTTGGTAGACAAAAACGGATAAATGGGGATGAATCTTACCTTTCGGAATTGGCTTTGTGAGGAAATATGCCACCATAGACATCTCAGGAGGAACGAACTGCTCGCGATAAGTAGGCTTATCCTCCTTCATGTTGGCTGGACCTTGCGGTCCAGCGAAATGCCCAAGCAGTTTCATGTTCAGTTTCACTCGCTGTTTCGTTAGTGAAGTAACCGCTCCCCAGACGCTCCCGTCGGTCACTGGGCTATCCAGGCTTTCCTGCTGGACCTGCGCTTGCACGACTTGTTGGGCAGCCTGCACATGTGACGTAGCCTTACGGAGAAGCTTTTTAACACCTCCGCCGTACAGCGTGGACCATGTGTAGTCTGTGAAATTTTGTCCAGCCAATCGATACAATATGTGACAATCGCAGGTCGTTAAAGCGTACACGAAAAGTGCCATATAGGTGGCAACGAATGATTCACACAATAGTACATTCAATCGAGGTGTGTCTTCATCCTTTTCGCGAGCAAGAAGCGCCCGGAGATTGGTTACACCTGGCCATTTGGAAGGAGGCGTACTTACAGCGAGTGGTTCGTCAGTCGAATACTTCCGTCGTCTTTGGTGTGCCGCAGCGTTTGCCATGAGATGTGTACTTTGGCAGCTTGCGTTTAGCTTAGCGATTGTTTCCATTCCAGGGCTATTACAACCTTCATTGACGGTCGATTGCTTTACGCTGAATGTATCCGAATCGCAGAGGGATTGATAGATACATGCAGATAGCGCAACCCCAAGGTCCCGCAATACAAAGATTCCATTTGGAAAAACTGTGCGTTGAGCATGTGGTGGGTTCCTCATGTCTACTATAGTTTGCAGCATATCGTGGGTATGAGATTGTAAGTAGCGCAAGGGATCTGCTATTACTGTCTTATTGCCAGCTACGCATGCACTTAACAGTGGTAGAGTAGTGGGGAATGGTAACGGACTAAGCAATTGTTGTTGAGTTTTCTCCTGTTGGAGTTCCTGCAACAGTAAAACCAGTTCCATCCGAACGGATGCTAGACCACCACCACTTGCTCCATGAAGCGAACAATAACTCAACAAGGTTCTTAAAAGCGTTTCATTTGCTTTCAACCAACGTTTCCTTCTGGCGGCCCGATGCACTTTGGCTTCAAAGTCTTGTTTCTCCTGGATTAGAATTTCATGCAAAGTCGGTTTATCATGCGGGAATTTATTCGACAACACCGGGGTGTCTCGATCTATTGCATCCGTTGTGTTATTGTCCTCAATTGCTGTATTATCCGAGTCTCCGCTGCTGTAATTACAGAGCTGCTTTAGGGCTTCAACTTCCCGCTCCAACCACACGTACAATTGGTATCGTAACTGCCCTCCATCAACTTCAAATCCAGTGGCTAATGTTGATAGTTCTTCCATAAGAATCTTCAAACATGCTATGAATTTCAACTGCTGAGCCATTATATCTAAACTTCCTTTGGAGTCCGCCTCGTTTTCGTCCGAACGTTCGGTTTTCTCTTCCACGTCAGTTTTCTTCAGCTGTATGCCTTCGTAACTATCTTCATCGTCCTCATTCTTTTCATCGTCATCCCACTCGAGTTTGAATTCATCAGCACCATTTGATACCTGAGATAAAACAGGAGCACCCCAATCGAAACAACTTGCCGGTGTGCTCCAATCTACGGTCGTCGATGAGGCTGGGGCGCTCCAATCCAAAGAATTTGATGTTTCCTTTCCGGAATCTGCTTGGCTTGTCTTGCTCCAATCAATAATTCCAGTTGTAATAGAGTTACATTGCGTTTTGGCATCATTAGGCGTTTGCGGCTGACTGGTTAAGTCCTGATCAATGACCTTCGATGGAAGTTTGCTAAGTACTTCTAAAGCAAGTGCTGGACAACCTGCCTTGAAGTGTGCATGAGCTGTTGTGAAATACAGTTGTCGTTCCAGTGGCGTAATAGAATCTTCCAGCTGGATCTGCTTGTCGGTAGTAAGGCCTGGCTTTGTTGAGGATGTTGTTTCATTTCCGTAACTGAATCCGGCTAGAACTACTTGGGCACGTTTCTTATCTTGAGCAGATGATGCGATATGCTGACGAATAAGTAAGGGATGCGTGCGTAGATATACATAAAAGTTAAAGACGTTTGGATTCGTAGCATGTGATCCTTCTGCATGACTCGCAGCGTTATCATCGTCGAATAGGGGGTGCATGCTACCAATGTTACTGTTTAGCAATGTACTAAGACTGCCAGAATAATCTTTGAGAAGCCAAAGAGCCATTGATCTTAGGAAGGGATCAGGATGAGCACGGCTAAGATCTTGATTTTCACCATTTTTATCGCATCCTAAAACTTCTTCATACAGCAGTCTCTTGAAGCTTGGTGGAGTAGCATCGTGTTCTCCTTCGTACAAACGTGTGATAACGAGCGCTAGCTGTAAATCCTGTAATTTGGTCAAACAGACCTCTAAGGCGTCATTTAATGAATTCGCGAGTAAGAAGAACGCTACTGCATGTTCGAAACGTTGTTTACCCAAAAGAGCGAACGCATTTTTCAGAGCAGCCTTGCGCCAACGATTATCATTGAAATTATTAGCAAAGAAAGCAGTCATTTTATCATCTCTCTGCGATCTGTACAATCCCCAAACGACAGACTTCTTTTTCATTGCCATGTAGTACAACGCAGCATCCAGAGGATCTTGGTTCGCTTGGAAGGAGGCCTTCGCCAAGCGATCGATACATGGTCTCAAAAGACTATTATTCTTCAACCACCAACCAACACCTAATTCTTTCAACACACTCCACTTTGGTTGACCTTTCGCATACGAAGGAATGAAATTTAACAACTCTTCTTCGCTTTCGGAGTGGAAAGCCCAAACTATGTTGGCGGTTCCAACTCCCTGTTTCTGGAACGATTGTCTTTGAGCGATCGGTAAACAACGGAGTAGGTAGTTGTAGTGTTTCATGGCAAGCAAAAATCTCAAACCACGGTCGTCTAAAGAGTCCGTTGAAACGCTCTCGGTATTTGGAACCCCTGTCAAGTTTTCCTTGGCGATCGCAGTCTTGGCAGCATCAATTGCAAATCTTTCTGCAAAATCCGTATTGCACGTAGATACTGTGTCCGCAAGCGCTAGAAGGTGCATCTGGTCAAGTGATGAAAGACCCGGTAGGTGAGTGTGAGTTAATAAGCGGGAAAGCAGTTGACCTTGTCTTGGGCCGAAATGCGACAGATAGTGTCTTTCCGGAAGCGAAGAACGTCGATCGGTAATACGGCTGACATCTGGTTCATCTTCCAGTAGATCATCAAGCGATTCGTCGACCACGTTGCTCTCGAACAGTTCATTGTAGTCCTGCAATTTAGACATGTTCACATCTAGTACTGTAAACGGGGATGGAAAGTATCAAAAACCTTTATTTCTTCGCTCTGCTGTGTAGGTAATCCGACGGTTTCTTTGTCAGCCGCCAGTAGGGTCCACAGCGGTAATGGAGGAATCGACGTTATTTCGGCATAATCCAAAGTCAATTCCTCAGGAATCTGTCAATGTAAATTAGTGGATTAATATCGAATGCTTTTCTTTATCAATATGCTATTTTACACAGTGCAACACTTCAGTTTAAGAACAATCTCTGTACCTACTCTGCAGATAGTAGAAAGAAAGAAACTTTAGGGAATGTTCATAATCTACGTGGATGCGATTGGGGCCTCCCTTAGCTCAGTCGGTAAAGGCGCGGTTATAAGCCAAAAGCATATTGGAGACGGCTGGATTCGATTCCCGGTCTCGTCTAGGCATTTCTCGACATCGACTTCCCTGGGCATAAATTATGATTGTACTTGCCACACAATAATATTAATGCAAAAATGGTACAGGCCTCCCGCATAAATGCGAACCATTACTTGACCTTATAAAAATTGTTTATAATTTCTGCTAAACTTTAACTGAAATGGTTATGGAACTTCATATGAACGTTTATGTGAGTTAGAAAACCCTCAATTAATAACTGTTGAAGTGCTCAGAGAACTCAAAGTTGATAGCTGGCGTAAAGTCAGCTGGGGACGTAATAAACCACAAAGAAGAAGTTGTGGATGCGTCAGAATGAGCTTTTCGTACATCAAATTTCGATCAATAAGTGGTCAAATTATGCAAGAATGATTTATTTTAAATCTGCATCTTTGTCACTTCTAAAGTCTCCCAAGAGCTCATTGCCATTTATGACTGATCTATCATGTGCTATCATGATGCTGCCCACAAATCCGGATTGTTTGCGTTACGTTATTTGTGTACCGCACCAAAGCGATGTGAAATACACATGTATTTTTCTTCTTCTTATTCTTCTTCTCATTTTGGTTTATGAGTTTTTATAGTGTTATTTAGTTTAAGGAAATAAATTTGGCTATTTTCGGTAATTTCTATAGTCAGAATTAAGTAATAATGCTTCATATTGTTGTATTAATTTAAAATTGTGTAATTTGTTCTAGTTTGAGAATATTTTAAGCAATCAAATATAATATGGTTGGTATCCTCTTTTACCCCACTTGTGTCACATTTGTCGTCTCTAACCATGTTCCCTGAATATAATGTTTCGTTAGGTAGTGTGTAAAAATTTCTTAGTCTACCTTCCTGTGACTATTTCGTGTGTGTATAAATTATATTTGTCAACCCATGGTTTAAGTTTCAGATCTTTTAATAAATTGTAGTGTAATTTGTCTTTCTGTGATGAGAGTATAGTGTATATATCTTCTATATCTTCTATAGTTTCGTGTTTTGCTAAATTGAGAGAGTCTCCCAATGGTATTTTTGAATTTATACTTTGAGTAAATTGACATCCTTCTTTTGCTAGTAGGAGGAGGAGGGGCATAGTGAACAGTTGGGGCAGAGTTAGCATCCAGCAGTTTGGCTCTGGATCTCCAGGTGCATGAAACAAATCAACTGGTAGTAGGTTCAATATCATTATGATATTGATCCTACCTCCAACAAATTTCTTCCGAACGGCCGGAAGTCCAAGCTGTTGCACGGGATGCTCACTATGCCCCTCTTACCCCTAAGTCTGCTTTCTCATTTCCTAAGATTCCTTTATGTCCTGGGACCCACTGTAGTTTTATCGTTTTATTTGTTGTCTTTAGTTTTGTGATGATATTGTGAATTAAAAATTATCGTTCAGGTTTTTATTATTTATGCTAATTAATGCTGATTTTGATTCAGTGCACATAAAAATTGGTTTTCGATTTTAGTGTTTATGATGTCCAGAGCCATGTTTATAGCCATTAATTCTACATTCATAATCGATAGTTCCTTACTGACTTTGCATTTATTTTTTTCGTTATTATTCTCGATCCATAATCCTATTCCACATGATTCTTTTGTTTTCGATACATCTGTATATATTTTATAAAAATTATCACGTGTTTCGTTTAAAAAGTTTATGAAAATGGTTTTTATTGTATCATTATTCATATCGGATGTTTGTTTTAATGTTTTCATTAATAATTTTTTTATGTTGTTTGTGTTGAGTTGTGTGTTAAAATGTAATTATTTTCATATATCGTGTGTTCCAAAAAAGTGTAATGCTTAGGAAGTTCATCTAGTTCTAAGAATTTATGTGTTATGTTAACTAACGGTTTATTATGGGTAAATGTTTTTATTGCTTCTTTCTTTGCAAACCATTTTGCCCTACATTGAATTGGGATTTCCCCTGATTCCGCGTACAATACATTATAGGTGTTGATTTCAGAAGATGTAAGCAAGTTCTAAGTGAGGCATTGATTAATTGAGTTTTTTTCATTAAGTTTGTCTTTGTTGTTCCCCCATATATTGTTATTCCATAGTCTGTTTCCAACCAAGCAACTATTTTTCTTGGTATTTTAAGATTGTCTAGTTGTGTTAATAATATGTTTATGTCTACCGAATCAAAAGCTTTTGTGAGATCTTAAAAAATTGTACCTATGACATGTTTCGAGCGGTTTACTTCTGTTATTGCGGAGTTAATATAATTAATACAATTAATTGCCGAGTAGCTTGCTCTAAAACCAAATGAAAGTTTGGGTATTAGTTAGTTTTCCTCTATAAAGGAGTTAATTTTTTTTTTAACTTCTAAGTTTATTATCTTTAAATTTATATTGATAAGTCTATAAGATGTTTCTAATGTTTTATCTTTACCCGGTGCGTATAAATCAATCCGATTTTATTTGTTTTAAGAAATAATATGACAATTTAGCAGCAGACGTATCCTTTTTCCCTTTTATTATTTTAATCATATTTTCAATGTTTAATGATTGTACATATTTTTCTTGTTCTACGTTGTAAATGTAAATTTGCAAATTTGTATTATTTTCTTGTTTGATGTTGATGTTTAATTCTAAAAAAATATTTGCTAGGGTTTTATTATTAAATAGTTCTATATTATCTTTATTTTTGTAGTTACCACTAACACATCTTACTATTTTCCACTTTTTATCGATAGTCGTATTTTCATTGATTTCCTGGAACATATTGCTTCTGTACTGCATTACTTATTTCTTAAGTGCCAGTGCCACTTTAAAATTTATTTCTGCTTTTTTAAATTCATGTTTGTTTTCTTGATTGTTTTGTCTGAATTTTGTAAAGTTTTTTATGTTTTCGTTCCAGTAAGGTAGGGGAAATGACGACTTCGGCATGACAGACTATTTTCGGCAACCAAAATTGAAACACTATTTTCACTGGATTTTCTAACGAAAAAACTTCGCTGAATGCATGCAAACGATTCTTTATGCTTTCAGCTTCAATTTGACTATATTTTTACCACTGAGAAAAAGCAATCTTGCAGGGTTTTCTTGAAATGAAACACACGCACTACAAATTGTAGCTGATTTCGAGTTGCCGATAATAGAACAGCAGATTTACATGCAGTTCAAATGAAACGGTTGCCGCAGAAAAACTGGTTGCCGACAATACTCGCCCTCACTAGAGAAGATTGGAGCGTTTCAAAATAGTTTTTGACAATTCTTTCGACTGAAATTGTTAGAGCAGCTGGCAGCAAAAGATTGTAAACGAACCAATACTGCATATGTGTGCGTTCCATAGAGAAAAAGGCTATAGAAAGAAGGTCACTGCTTAGGTTGCCGAGAATACGTAAATTCCCCTATATTTTTTTCTTGCTTTTTGAGTTTAGCTACCTATACTTGTTTTAATGCTTCGTTAATTCCTCTATTCAAATTATTTATATTTTTATGAGATTTTGGATTAATTTGATTTATATTATGAATTGCTTTTCCTTTGTTAATTATTGTTTTTGGAATATTATTATCAAATTTATTGAATGCGTTTATTACAATTGATATTCCTGTACCACCGTAACCGTCTATTCTACAGCTTTTAACCAAGCTGTAATTTATAAATTTTTATTTTTCGTCTGGCTTAAACCAAGTTTCTTGAAGTAGGAATATGGGAATATTTTTGCTTTTTAGGTATGTTTTAATTGTTTATCTTTTATGGAGAGGTCTTAAACTTTGAATGTTTAATTGGGATATATTTGAGTGTTCTAAATAGGATTGATAGGATGACATTACTTTGAAGTAAAAGATTTATTATGTTTTATGTTGTTTATTTGTTAGACTTGATAAGTTTTGTATCATTGAACCAATCTCGATCGATGCTGTATGGTTGTCGGTTTTTTTATCCGTGATTTTGGAAAAGATGTTTTATAGTTGTATTGTTAGGTTTTGTTTTTGTGTGGTTTGTAGTTTTTCAGCTTCTGCACGGATAGAAATCCCCTTATACCTTTTGGCAAATTTCCATTGCTGATTATTCATAAATTGTATAAGTCAACTAATAAGCAGACGCCTTGCAAAAAGTTAATAAAGATCATGTGTCAAATGAAATGTATAAGCGGTCACACATACCTTCTATGCATTCTAATAGGACCTATGTGGTTTGTCTTATGGAATGTATAAGGCTGATGTTTTGGCAAAAATGTATAAGTGAAACGCATGAATCAAATAATTGATTTTCGTTTCGTGTTCTGACCTATTCAGGGATTATTTCAACTGTTGGATAAGTATTTTTTTTATTATTTCCGGTTTAGAATTGTCTGTTTGATTTGGTGTGTTATTTTGTGTCAGATTTTACACATTTTGTTTGTAATCGATTTTCGTCTTGTTCGAGTTATTTACATGTCTGAACTCTCTGTTTGACGTTCCATTTAAGGGAAATCAACGGTGGACTCCAGAAGAGCATAGCTGTTCTTAGTGCTAATTTCAGGCTTTGGATATAGTTGTTCTGCTTCTTGATATGTCATTCACATGTTCCATTCTTATGCGTTCTGGGCAATCCTTGCTAGTCGGTCACAGTTCCTACATTTTCGCCTGTTCGTTTTCTGACATTCTGTGTGATATTCTGTTTCGTATTTCCCACATTTAATGCATGTCGTCTTACTTTTACATGCTGCGTTTTTGTGACCTAACCTCCAACACTTTGTGCAAATTCTGACAGGATAAATGTAAATTTCTGGTTTCGCATTTTTTTTCACAGATCTCGTACCGATTAGTCCCGATCGTGCGTC